TCCTTCCTTCTTAAGTTTTTGAAGTAGTGTTAAGGTACATGAGAATAAACTTTATGGAAGAAAAAACATAAAGTAATGAATGCTTATGTGGGAAATCAAGCTGTTACTGCTGCTGACTGTCACAGACTGTTTTATTCTCTCTCAACTTTCTGTATATCTTCTGAAGAGAAGTATGGCTTTTCTTACATTCCCAACACAAATGAGATGCTAGATACAGAAGGACAAAACTTCAGCTATTTAGCAAAATTTGTTCAAGGTTGGAAGACAGATTTCATTGACAGTGTGAGTGCGTGAGCTCTAAACTTCTGATGTCAGCATTGACTGAGTGTTTGTGAGGTTGGTCATTACCAGTGGTTGAAAAAGGGCACAGCTTCCAGTTTGATGGTGAGAAATGGAGTGTCCAGATGTTGTGTTTTGTACACAAGTCTAACTATGCCTCATGGATTAATTTTCAAAACAGTTTAGTCTTCAGGACCTTCTTCTTTTGAGAAAAGTGAGGGATATTATTTCTATTTTGTAGTTGATTGTTTTTGTTGTTGCTTGTTTTTTTTTTGTCTTTGCTTTCTAATGAGACAATTTTGCAATTTTTATCTGTTGAATTCTATGGTTTTTCACATCACTGCCTCTGTGTCATGTCTTCCCAGGAATCTTCTTACATGACAAGAATTTGTCTATATGTCAGAATTCATTAGAAAAAATCAGATGCTAGGTTTAGCATTTTAGCTTAGCCAAAATGAAGTGAGCCTCATTGATGTAGTAAAGCTTGGGAATTTTTGTTTATTTTCCTTCTTTCCAATCTCAAGCTTCATGATTTTCAATCTTAAAGCTTAGATCAGAAGAAGTGATAGATAAGTGCAGGATGACATAAATGTCTTTTTTGGTTTGTCTGCATAAATGTTTTCCTGTAAAAGAAAACATTAATCTTTTGTTAAAGCTAATTGTGCGTTGAAGTGTAAAGGCAAGTCCTTATGTCTGTTTTTCTTTTTAAAACTGAGGAATTAGAAATTGACATGCAATTTGTTTTACATACTGTAAAAAGAGAAATTCTAGGAAGTCATAGCCCACGAAGAGGGGATCGTTCAGGCTGTGCTCTGGTGTTCCAAGAGTGGTGCCATTGTAAGCTGTCATTCTAGAGTTTTCTCTAAGAATACATCTGAGCTTTTTATTGGGAAGATGTAATTCCAAATGCATACTGAGGAAGTGATGTCCTTATGACTTAATAAATGATGGTTTGGCCCTCTTCCAATCAGAATGGAAATGAAAGAATGAAAAGAAGGGAAAACATTAATTTTAATGAATATGTGTGCAGATACACAGTTGTTAACAACACAAGTCAAAACAATTTTTTCTCTTTGAAATTTGAGAGATTTTATTTGGCAGTAAGTTTAGAAGGGTTTAATTTGCTATGAAGTTGTCCGTAGACTTTTACTTCTTATTTTGTGCATCTGTGGGAAGTAGGTTTGCATTTCTCATGTGCACTTTAAACTTCAAATCTGGTCTGTTTGTTTTTTTTTTTTTTTTTTTTTTTTTCCTGATCTTGAGAGTGGTTAATGTTTGAGGCTCAAATGCATGTGGTGTCATGCAGAAGAAATTTAAGTGTAAATTTCTTGACTTTAGTAAAGTGTGGTGTTCCAACACAAATGAGAAGAAAAAGCAGGGAAATAAAAAACTTTGAAACAAACATTCTGTAAACTGGAAGGCTTGTCATGACTGATTTAAAAAAACAAAACAAAAAAAAAAAAAAACAACCAGCCACGCACAAAACTGAAGACACACGGTCTGTGTTATCTCTCTCTGTTGGATCAGAATTTTCTACATTCATGTGTATGTTAGATCTCGTTTTCTTGGAATCTGGGATAAAGGACTGTGAGTCACAGCATTGAAGTGTGAGCTCTAGACTAAAGGTGTGTTTAGAAAAGCTACTGTCCTACTGAGATATTTTCTTTAGTTTTTTTATATAAACATCAAAACGTATTACTTTATAAATATTGCAGGAAGCTTGCTTATATTAAAACAATTTCCCCCTGATTAAATAGGTCTTACAGCATAGTAGTGGCTGTTGGAGGATATTCATCCTGCTACTTGTAAAATCAGGAGTAGCTATACTGCATCTCTTCTTTAAAGACAAGTAGAACTACAAATAATGCATATTAACGTAGTTTCCGTACCTGTTTTTTAGATCCTGTATTGCTTTGTGAGGTGTTTTTTTGTTGTTTGTTTTTAACCCCCAAAAGCTGTTTGGTTATTTTAGTGGCTCTCCACACTTCAAACAAATGATAATCCTTTCTGAACAACTGGGTTTTTTTTCAATTTTTAAGCCATGGTTTCAACATGTAGCTTGAGCTCTTGTGTAATGTTAGGAGACTCACGGCTCCTTGGCTGAAAAGCTCTGCTGTCTTTTCAAAGCAGCGAATAGACTTGCTCAGTGATCTGGAATGGCACAAGCTGCATTCAGGAGGAACGTATGTGTACTGACCAGAACTTTTAAGATAAATCCAAGATCCCTTGGCAGATTATGTAGAATGCTACACCGAAACCTACTTATCTTAAAGCTTAATGAAATGACAGAAAACCTAGTGAATGCCGGAGTTATTTGCCTATGCATGTTTAGATTTCATCTGGAAGTAGATAGGAATTTAGATTGTGGATGGTTTTTTTTTGTTTGTTTGTTTGTTTTCAAATCTTTCATTTATATTTAATTTTTTCTTTTTTTCCTTGTTTCTCCCTACCCCAAGAGATCACCTCTGTCTGTTCAGGAAGTAAACTTGCTTCACTGGTAGATCAGAGCTGTGTAGGAAGGACCTCTAGTGTTTCTATAAGCTAGGTTCGAATTGCTGCAGAAGCTGATGTGTTTGCTGAGGAAGGAATATCAGAATAAAAACAGATGTGTTAAGAAGAATTGAAGTTGAATGCTTTTGCCACATAAGTGCAAGTGATAATTAAAATGTAAATAGAGGCTGTCACTATCTTAATGGTAGCTAAGATGTTTACACATCAGTTAAGATCAATTGCTGTTCTTTATTCTGTGTTGCTTAACTGATTTGTAGAAATGCATGGTGTTGCTTTTGCATCTGAAGTCGATAGAAACTGTATTTTGGGTGCATGTGTGAGTTGTGCATGCTGATGTATGCACTGGAAAAGCTGAGATTTACACACTGGTGTCTGAAATTCGTGCCTGATTTTTGATCTCTTGTGCTTTAACTGAGTCCATCATAAAGAAAACTCAGAATTCCTGCTGTCTTGTCTGGTGTTTCACTTGTCCTCATAAATGTAAGAGTCAGAAATTGAAGAAATTAAACTGTGCATTAAAATGAAGCATAAAGGTTAATGATTTATGTTTTAACTGAATCCTTGCTGAAATATGCTTAAAAGCGGTTATCACCTATTCATGCTTACAACAAAAGACTGATTGTGGAGGTGTGGGGTTGCTCGCTTTCACCTCATGGTTTTCTTAAAAATAACAGAAACAGTTGAATTAAGGATTTTCTAAATATTTTGACAATGAAATGCTTGTAACTTTAAGATTGGTCTTAAAATAATTTCTTTATGTAGCATTTTAGCTGCTAGAGCAAATTATAGGTTGAAGTTTCATGTACAGTATTTGTTTAACCTGTGGTTTGTAAGTGGGCTCTTTTTTCGAGCCTTCTGTATTGTCAGAGCTGTGGCAGTAGCACATGGCAGTGGTAGGTTGCTACTCTGTAGACTAGTGCTACATCCTTTTCTAGTAACTTTGGAAAAGGTAATGACAGAATGTTTTAACTTGGAGGGCTGAAGAGAACCGGGGCTGTTCTGCCTGCAGTCTTTCTGCTGCCTCTCCATAACAAATCTTGCTCCAGCAGTGTTTTCCTTTGTTTTTGCTTGACGTAATCCTTGATTTTTCTCAGTCCTGTAACAGGCTTCTTGTCTACCAGGCTGTAATTCATATATGTATTTTTTTATTATTATTTTTTTCCCCTTCAAGATTTTAATTTTTCCTTTGCGTTGATTTTTGTAGGAAGTTTTTTTTTCCTTCCACTTTCCTGCCTAAGCCAGTTTTCTTTGTGACCTATCAGAGCTCTCTAGTGCTCCTCATTCTAATTGGTTAGGCTAAGGGTCATCTTTGGCTCAGGAGGGATACTCAGTTTGTAGGCATGCTGTGAAGTCTGAAATTGCAAAAATGATTCTCTTTAGACTGAAACTTAAGGAGTATAAGTGGGTTTAGGGAAGGGAGAATTTGCAAAAGCCAAAACCAAAGGGGTAATTGCCTGACCGTCTTGCGTACCTATGAACTTTTGTTTCACAGTGCTGCTTTGTAGGTGGACCAGACTCTTGGAGGGGAAGTGGGGGTGGAGGGAGAAGTTGAAAAAGCAAAACCTTATTCTTCTGTGCCAGCTTTTCCAAGTCATAGGATAACTACTGTAAAGAGGGCAACGTGCATTTATTCATGCTTATGAGGGGAAAAAAAAAAAAAAAAAGGAAAAAAAACAACACTGTATTGTGAAAGTGTCCCCTGAAGGGATGTGATAAAGTAAAACTCAGCTCTTCTTGTTTCGTAGAAGTTGATAGAATTAAGAAGAGAATTTTGTAGTGAGGAGTGAGAGAATTACTAGGCTTCCTTGGGGGTTCTCTTACTGTGATCTGTTAAATGGGGGAAACTGAGAATAGGCTTTCTTCTGTCTGTAAACGTAAGAGATGAAATATCTGATACTTTTGAAACTTGGTTGTTTCAATTTGGGGAAAAAATGGAGCTAGCTGCACTTAGAAGAACCTCACACAAACATGCAGCCCTTCCCTGACCTCCCCTCGCTCCCTTCTGCTTTCCCTCCCTGGATCTGTACTAATAGTTGTTCGGTGCTCCTGTCTTGCAGCAGTTTATTTGAACGGTCAGCGCATGAGCCACTTTTCTGTTGCAAGTGGAATTCGTTAATTTGGGGAGGGTCAGGGGGAAGAAAGGAGTCTTAAGTTACTTTGTACATAAATAGGATGGGTTCTTCTTTGACCTGAAGTCTGTCTTGATGCAGCAGCACAAGCCAGCGAGGAGACTGTCACATTTCGACGTGAACGCAGCACATTTAGGCGTCAGGCAGTACGACGCCGGCACAATGCAGGGAGTAACCCTACCCCTCCTACATTGCTCATCGGATCACCCCTCAGGTAGGGTATCTAAATGTTCCACCGTATTTAGCATGCATGCAGCAGACCACTTCTCCTCACACCCACCAGTGTTGCCAGAAAGGCATTTTTTACTTCCTTCCCCGCCATAACCTCCTCAAGCTGTCACTGCATGTCACTGTGGGCTTGTTGAATTGTGCATGTATATGTGGCACTATTTTCAAAATTTTCAGGGTAGCCAGTCTCTAACATGTTACAGTTAATTTTAGATAAATAATGAAGTGAACTAATGCTAACAGACTCCATGTTTTTTTTGTCAAAAACTTCAGAAACTTTAAAGCAAGAAAAAAGACCCAAGAAAATATTATTTACCTGACTCAATTTTGCTTTTCTCTTTCCTTTAAGAAAGTAAGCGTTAGGGTCTAGTATCTTTGTAGTCACTTTTCATTTATGTGGATAATGAGAGAGAAGCACTTAAACAACAACAACAATTCTTCAACATCTTGAAGAATTAAATAATATACGCAACGGATCCAAATCTAAAATAAAGGTAAACTATAGTGTGAACACCCTGTAACTTTCCAGGAAAAGAGTAACATTAAAGTAATAACAGTGCCTTTGTTACCAAACGCAGTGTTGCTCCATATATGAAATTTAACTGTGTGACACTGCATGCCTCAGCAGTGCTTACAGTGTATATATATGTACATCATGGCAATCTGTCACTAGCCCATTTAATAGCAGTGCTGAACCCAGTGGTGTGTTACATACAGCAACTCCTTGCTCGGCCTGTGACCTCGAATAGTGGAAATGGTGATCTCAGGATGATTTTAAATCTTCCACTTTTTAAATCTTTTGGTTCTCTGATTGCCTCAAGTGTTGCAGAATCTGGCAAGAATAACACTGCCTATAGTGTAAGGAGCATTTACCCATAAAAGTAATTCTTCCCATTAACATGATACGTATACAGCACATAGTCGTTATTCCTTCACATTCTTAATAATATTACTACATATCCTATACCATATATACTATATATAATACTACTGTGTATCCTAAACTAACTTGTAGCACTAGGACCAGTCTATTTTTGTGTTCTAGGAATATTTGTGTGGATTTTTTTAGTTGTAAAATACTGTAGAAAGTGAGCAGATAAAAAGAAAATAAATGGAAAATGGGTTGGGGAGGAATATTGGTGACTTTTATAGTGCAACTGAAATAGCCAGAGGCTGAATTTACTGAATTTTTAGGTTTTCCTTGTGAAAGAGAATGGCTAGAACAGTGCCTAAAACCTAACAAATGAGGGCTTGACTTCTTCTGCATTGCAAATTGAATTGGGTAGTACAGGATGTGGCAGAAGTTCATTGTATGATTTCAGATAAATTTGTTACATTTCTAGTCTTGCTGAACAAAACATAGTGCATTACTTTCTTAGTGAGGGATATTTAAACTTCCTATTAGGTCATTGCTGTTCTACTCTTATGTTCCATTTCTCCTGCTGGTTTTTTTTTGTGGGCGGTGCTGTTTTATCTACTGATCAGTAGAAAGTTGTGTGGAGTAATTAGAGCTCCTTACCTGAGAGAGGTTACTTTGCACAGTGATGTTTGTGCAGCTGAATGACTGTCCTTTGGTTTGGAGCTAAATTGTTTTAGGCCAGCTGAGCACCCAAGTGCTTACTAATCTGTTTGACATAAATTCCATTTGAACCGCAGACTGTATCTGAAAATTTGTATTTATTACAGTTACAGATTATTTCTAATTTCTAGATCAGTAGTCTGATTTTCTTTTATATGGGTAACTTCATTTTTGTGTGATTTTTATTTCTTCCAGTAACATAACAAGGACATACATTTTTGGCTGGTTACCACCAAAATCCTTTCCTTACCACAGCAACTACACATATACCCATATGTACTTGTGGTGAGCCACTTCTGTCTAGTTCCTAATACTGCTAATCAATATGACTTCCTACATTAACTTATAACAACATTAGATTTACTCATTTCTAGTGGCCCTGATGTTACTTTTCTCCATTCTTTACAGAAAAAAATTTAATCACCTGATCTCCAAACTATGATGTCAAATCAGATGTCATGGAGATGGCTCCACAGAGTCTGAGTTGCATCTAGTTGTTCATTTTGGGGAATGTCAAGTAGAAGATAGGTCTATAATGCCATCACGATTGGCAGCAGAAGACAAATAAAACCTGGTCTAGTAAATTTTGCACCTTTTAAGCTAAATTAGATGCAAGTGTATTTTCTTTTTGTTTACTTAAGTAACCAGGAAATAACAAAAGGGAAGCAGGAAAGAAACAACAAAAATAAAACAGCTTACTCTCCTTTTATCCTGCCTAAGCATTGACAGTGTTTTGACTGCTTCAAACATATTTATGGATTTGCATCCTATGTAGCTGATGATGTATATGCATGTGCATCTGATAAGTGAATGTAAGTGACAGTCTCAAGCAAAATTTTAAGAATAGTTTTATTAAATAGAGAGTAACAGTTTCTTGAATGCAGTCTGTTATTACCAATATTTTGCTTTGTTTTTACTGTGACAGGTGTGGATAACCTCTGAAAGGACACCTTGTGTATCTTTTGCTACCTAGCTACTATTAAATGGAAAGACAGCATTATTTTGGTGTTGCTGATAATACTTAAGTGAGACAGTGACAGCTGGCAAGTTTGTGAGCTTTCTTAGGGCTTCTGTTGCCATGTAGCCTTGTCTGAAACAGTAGAGCACTGAATAAAGCTTCAGATTCTGATATGTTAGAGTACAGGTTGCAGTTTTTAACCTCGTCAACTGCGTGCATGTCTGTTATATTTTGCATGATCTGTTCTTAACACCTGGTCTTATAGTCACTTTCATATTTTGCAGTGATGTTCTAAGGAAAAGCAAAATCAGTTGTTGTAGAAAATACACACAGCTGCATCAGACAGACACCCTCAACTCTTAGTAAGGTCTTATAGTTATCTCACTTGCCAACTGTAGCATCACACTGTGTGTAGTGAAATGTTAAAAGCAATAGGTGGTCGAGACTGTATTTCAAAAGAGAATGCTCTAAGACAGAAGATAAAGAATTTTTGTTTTAACAAACTTGTAATATAATTTTGTTTTTTATTTTGATAAAAAGATGATTTCTTAATCTGAAGAAGCGTCCTCCAGCTAATGACTGACATAACTTCTCTAAATATATAAAATAAGGATAATAAAACCACCAATTTTACAGCACGGCTCTAATGCGTGTGACACTTGTATTTGGAGACATTGCCACATTTAATGTTTAACTGCTTTAAAAATATTGTTAATATTTGTTAAACAGCTTCTTAAAATAGTTTTGCATTGAGAAGATTATGAAGAAGACTAACATTTTCAGATGTTGTCTGCTGATAGCTTTAAACTTACACACTTCTCTGAAGAATTAATTTCTATCTCTGGGTTTAGAAGAATTTTGTTGTGATAAGGAGTACTAAGCAACAAAATCATTGTCAGGGCCGTGCTATCAAAATAACTTTAAAATAGTCCTAAAACTTTTGCCAATTAATAACTTGTTAGAGGTACTCCCCATAAAAATTCTGGTTCTACTGGTTCAAATGTGGTTATCCACAAGGTATGTTGCCAATGTCTGATTTCTAATTAATCTTAAAGACATTTTGTAGGAAGACTGCAGAGTAATAGCAAGGAAGATGGTGATGTTTTGACAACAAAAGCAGAACAATTGAAGTCATATCTCCATGAGCAATCTAACTTGAGAGAAGAATGTCACAGCCTCTATTGTACAGGAGAGAGATCACAGGATACAGTTAAACTAACCACCAGTAACTTATTTTCACACCCACAAATTAAAACTAGTAAGAATAGCATTTCCCCAGCTGGGCCCTAAGAGCAGTGCTCCCAAAAGCTTGAGTGGGACCTGTGTCTTTGTATGTTCTAGTGTAACATTAGTGTCCAAGCAAGTTGTTGTACATAACTCACGGGTTACCTTAACCCTAACAAATGGCTTCTGAATGCTGTAATTTTACCTTTTCCCTTTTTTTTTTTTTTAAGTCTTGTTTTTCTTCACTTTAGCCATTTCCTTTCCTTCCCGGTAATGTCTCCCCCATCCGTGTTTTCTCGTAGCCTTCAAGATGGTCAGCAAGGCCAGCAGTCCTCCCAGGCCAAAGTGCAGTCCCGCTCCCCCTCCCAGGCAGCTGTGCTCAGCGCTAGCACCTCCTTGCTGGTGAGAAATGGGAGTGTCCACTTAGAAGCATCACATGCCACTGCATCTGCTGTAGGCGGTAGCAGTTTGCACGATGGACTTGGTATGCAGGCCTTATGTAACCTTGGTGACATGGAAGTTTTAATACAGCAGCTATATTGGTAATAATGCAGTGAAAAACAGTTAACTTTAACTTTGTTTCTGGATCTTGTAGGTACATTTCTTAGAAGGGAATATTGCTGGTAAATGCCCAGCCTTTCATTGTCTCGTTTCCAGACACTTTGTCTAACAAATTTGGAAACATTTGTTCCAAGTGGGAAGCATTCTAAGGATGCATAAGTAGCAGTAACGTGAGATCTTTGTATTTGAACTATATAGCACATGTAATGTGGGTATCCTTGCATTGTCAAAGAGAATCAGGGTGGGATTGTTAGTAAGTTTGGGGGAACTTCAGATTCCTTAAAAGATACCTATTGTGATCACTAGGAACACTTGATCTTTCAGAAGAGCTTCGCATAGTTGTTCTTTGAAAAGAAACCCTCACATCAAGGAGGGTAGTTTTAATTTGTGCTTAAAAGTAGGAGATTGAGCCGTGAAGAAAATATGGATCTTCTTGTTTCAGTTGCCATCGCTTTTGAAGACTTATGGTGCTCCTCAGTTCTTCTTGGTCTGTTTAATGTAATATTTCTCACTGCTTATCAGCTTCTCTGAAGTTAATAAAATTGCTAAGGAGAAGGAAGTTCAGATGGTTATAGTAAGTGACTGATCTCCTGTGACACAGTAATGTGGAGAAAGGTAGGGAAAAATTCTTGGCCTGGATCTTTGCAGTTATCTGTTCGTGGCCTGAACTGGTGATGACTTCAGTGTTAGCATGGAATTCCTGCTCAGATTGCTACGATATCCGTGTTTAGGGCTGCTGATTGTTAGTGATGGTATTTTAAATAGCTACCAGTTGTGATAACACAGAAGTGAAGGTTGGATTAGAACAGTGCTTAAGAACACTTGTTACAGATCTTGCTGTAACCTTGCTATAAAAGATAATTGATTTGTCGCATCATGGGGAAGATTTCGAGCATTGTTGGGCTTTTCCCCTTTAAATAAGAGTTCAGTTAGCAAGTCGCTATTCTTCTCTACCTACTAGCAACAATATAAGAAAAAATAACTATAAGCAAAAAAGAAAACAATTCTGATATTCTCTGAAATGCAGTTATAGAATGATACTACAGATATGTCAAATTATACAGTCTTCTTATGTGATACTTATGTTCTTGTTTTAGATTCTGGTAGTTTCTAGATAGAAAAATCAATGCTTAAAAGTATGAATCTCTAAACTGTGAAAGCTTATCACATAAAGCTACAAGTTCTTTTAGCTACTTAATTTGGAGACTTTTTTGTTTGAAATGGTCATTGGGATGTAACTGAAATTCAGGGATTACTGTGGTCATATCTATTCAAAGTTAGTGTTAAGACCTGTTCTTTAAGCTACTGGTGTTGTATTTGATAGATATTGCCCACACCAATCAAGTTTTATAGAATTCAGAGTTTTATGTACTGTTCTTCAATTTGAATTATTTAAGAGTTACGTTTATTGTGATTTAGTGAAAATTGAAGTAGATTCAGCATTGCATTTAGGCTCTCTTAGCAGTCACTTTTGCTGCACTTGGAATGGAATACATTTGCTGTCTTCAGATAAGTTTAGCTATACAAATTTCTAAAGTTCTGTGTGTACAATATTATGGAGCAAGACATTGCTGTTGTGAAGCAGAAAACTGTTAGGATCTGTTCAGTTGAATGAATCCTTATTACATCTCAGATTTGTTTGTTTTGGAGCTTCAAGCATCTGTTTAGAAACTTCTTTGTGAAAGCTATTATAGCAAAAAATCTGTTCTTATTCTTAAAAATCAAATGATTTCGTTTTTACAGCAGGCTTTAAAAAAAAATCCGCATTATGAACTAATGCCTGTTCTTAAAGCATTTTGTATGGTGGGTGTTCTTTTATTAGAGCAGAATAGCTGATAAAATGGAGCAGGCTTTCACATTTGCGATTCGTTCGTCAGGCTTGACAAGAAGGGAGATGATCCTGTTGTTATTTCAGAGAGAGTATGCTGGAGGAAGAAGGGAGGTAGTAGCTTGTTCTGTGGTTGGTTTGCTTGTTTGTTTTTTTCTTTTTTTGGTGATATTAATCACTGTTAAAAATAGTAAAAGTGCCAAATGGAGCAAATAAGAAGATGTATAATGCACATATGTCAACACAGTGTGCGCAATAATTTCTTTTCTTACTGAAATTGTTAGCATTTTCCAGCTCATCTGGAAGACGATCAATCAGGTTGTTTGCATTTAAAAACTTTTTTCTAGTGCACAAATGCAGTATGTGCTTCTGCATATTTTTTTTTCTGTATGTGTGCTGATATGAAGCTTTAGCTCTCAAAATGACACATTTTTTGTTCATTTGTTTCAAAGATTAATTAATTTGATTTTGGTGATATATTCTGTGAAGGATGGATCTTAATGGGTTATAAGTAGTCTATATCCAGTCTCATGATGACTATACGTTCTTAACAGTTGCTGAGCATTGTGCTGAATAAGGCAAGGGAAGCTTTGAAGCATTATTTGTGGTCTTCCAGATTCCAAGTAGAAAGACTTTTACACGTTATGTTGTTGCTTCCTGAATGATGAGGGGAAAGGAATTTGAAAGGGTGGAGAAAGAAACTTACCATGGAGCAGTGAAAAGAAATAAATCAGGAATGATTTATAAATAAGGATTTTATATGATTTTATAAATGAGGAATGAAAGACAAAAAAAACTTTGGAATGATTGCAGGGATGATTAACACAATGTGAATACAACAGACTGCAAAATGGACGCCACGACTGAAATGAATGATCATCTTCAGAGCATAGTATGGCAGTGCTAATGCCTTCTACTCTCATAAATGTTCTTCAGTGTGTAGGTAATGGGTGTTATTTTTGAGTTCTTGCTTTGGAGGCTATTAGAATTTGTGAAGTAGTTCAGACTCCAAGTACTAAGCTACTAGAACAGATGTCTGGTGTCTGAATGTAGGGTGAAATAACAGCCTATTGTCCTCACATAGGTGGTTGTCTTATTTTCTTAGGAAGTAATCACCTGGAGCTTTACGATGCAGCTGTACTGCAACATTTGCCTCTTCTAGTTTTTATCGCTTGTGTGAGCAACAATATCTCAGATTTATTGAAGGATTTTGTTTTTTAAAGGCAATTACATGGTGGTGTTGAAGACTGGAACTTCCCATACTGCCTTTAAAAGTAGATATCTGTGCTGATCAGTCAGTTTCTCAGTGCTTTTTATATATATAAGTAGACGTTTTCAAAGGTATGAGTAGAAGACAAACTCATTTCCCTCTGTTCCTGTAGAAAATGTGCCTCTTGTAGTTGTGGAATTGTGCATATAATGGATAAGTTACGCTTTTGATAAATGTCATATAAACTAAAAATTGAACACCTTTAAAGTGTCCAAACTGAAAACTTCTAAGTTTTAATACTGCTGCTGAAGGTAAATACTGACGTTGGTAAATGAGAATTCCTTGCTATAGAATAATCAAATTTTTGATAGCTTTGTTTGTTGTCTTGAATAGGATTTAAAGAAATGTACTTACCTACTACTTACCAAGTACTGTAATAATTCTAACAACGATGTAGACTTTGACATGTGCAAAAGCTGTTAGCATCTTTCAGAACTAGTGTGGAAGGTTTGAAGCAGAAGTATTTATTGGATGGAAAATTAAGAAATATGCTGAAAATAATATGACTGAAGAAAAACATCAGTCTACTGCTTTAGGCAGATGCTGAGCCACTTGTCTTCCAGGTTCAATCTATTTAAGCTCATTGTTCTGTTGCTTTCATTGATTCCCTTATCTGTGGGAACATCAGTCTGTACAATATGTGAACCTTTATGTGGCTGTCTTTGGACTCAGCGATGAGATACTTTTGTGCTCTGAAACAGTTTGTTTCAAAGGAAGCATGTTCACCTTTTCTCCCCTTCATGCCATAACGCTGATGTATTTTGGAGTTGTCGGAGTATCAGTAACTTCAGTTTATTATTTTCATGATGTGCTCCTGGTAGAGTACAGTGAAGAATCTGAAGCCCTCTTTTGAGATGAAGTTAGGTGAAAAGTTACAAGCATTTCTATTTAGTGTACAAATGTTGGCTGAATTTCTATAGTTTTAAAATAAGGCTTTGTCTGGCTTGTTCACAACTTGATAATACTAATACTATGTGATATACTACTGTCCTTAGAAGAGGAAACTTAATGGTGCTTCGTTGTGATGCTATCAAAAATATTTAAGACAACTGTAAGAGAGCTAGGAATAGGAGGGAAAGAAAATCACTCGGGTGACTCCCAGAGGCTGGGTGTATCCATGTGTGCTGGGCGTTAGGAGCATTGGGATCCCTCTCTAGAGTGCTGTGAGGAGACTGCTGTGTCTCGCACAACTGCTGGGACTTGGAGCTCCTGGGGTCTGCAGCCATGCCTTATGGTTTGCTTCCTCAGCTGCACTGAACAGATCTGTAATATTTTTTTGCTTTTAGTGAATTCGTTCCTTTTTTTTCTGGAGGATCTTTGTTGGTTTCTGCGTGTTTAACTTTAAAGAGCAGCTTTGTTTCATTGAGAAGCCACGCTTTTCTTGACTTCCATTAGGAAATCTACTTCAGTAGAGGGATGAATTGCAGGTGTAGCAAAAGCAGAGGTTTTGCAGTTTACATGCAAATGATTGGAATTAAGCTTTTTGTTTGTCTGTTGAAATCATCTGCTATATCTCTACTTACCAGGTTTGTTTTATGCTCCTGCAGCCACTCCCTACTTATATCAGCAGTACAAAAGCAGTAACCGTTGATAATCTCAGATGAATTGGGTGTGAGGGAACAGTAGATGCTTCATTATGTGAAGGTTTTTATGCTAAATTTTCTCAAGTTTTGAAGTCCTTTGCATTTGGTATGTATAACCCAGTGCAGGAAACGTCTTTCGAACAAATTTATCTGATGTAGTATCTCAGCCTAAAGGAATGGGAAGCTGTATCTTGTAGTATATTCTTGTTTATCTGATCTAGCATCACATTATTGTAGTTAATAAATTTACTGGCTCTCAGTTCAGTAGCTTGTGCAAAGACATGAAGAATGTAAGGTAATCCAGACATCATTGTTTCTTTTAAAGACTGGTTGGTTGAAATACTTTTTCTCTAACGTGGTTTATGCATGATTTTGTCCTGAGAGCAATCTGTAGTACTTTATCTACTATCTTCATGTTTGCTGTTGAAATTTTTTTTACTGTCGCAGTTCAGAAAACCCCTATGTCACTGCAGCTATTGGTTGTGGGGAAGGAGGTACCTAATGCCTCCTACCAGCTTGAATTTAAAACTTCGTCAGTAAACATTCACTACATTAAGCATTAAAAACAAGGGGATACTTAACTAAATCACTTCATTAAGGTCTTAACTAATTAAAGAAGTCACTTGAACAAAAACGATAACCAAAAAAAAATTCAAAAAAAACCCACAACCAAAATGACTTTAAGAAGTGAATCTTTTGCTCATGTTTCTTTACAAATATCTGTAGTAGATGTAATTAAATATTGAGGGAGAGCTGTTGCGTTACTGTGTTCTGATGCATTCTGTAGACAACTACTGAACCATGTAGCTGCTGTGTCAGAATGGAATCTTCTTTCTCAGCAAGTCTGCCTTATGTGTCTGGGGGTGCCCCTCTGCTGTGGGGAGAGAGCCTTGTGAAGGTATTGGAAGCTCTTAGCTTGTTAGGTGTTTCTCCTGTGGCTACTTGTTTTCCTGTATCATCAGGAGATAGGGCTTCAGGATGTGCAGCTGAGAGGTTTACACAGACTTTTGCTTCAAACGTACCATAGTAGGTTGTTGTTTTTTTATTTTTTATTTTTAGCTGATTAAAATATGTTCTTAAAATATTGCATGCTCTTGCATCATGAGTTAAGTAAAAGACTTTGAGCTAGGAGAAATGGAGAAGTTGGCAGGGCTGTATGAGATGATTACAACTTCAGAATCAGCTTCCTGCGTTCTGAGCAGAAGTATATTAAACTGACCTGGGGAAATTACAGTCCTTATCTCTCTGATCAAATTGTTGTGGAGAGAAGGGTGCTGTAAAAACATCATATTGTGAGCAAGGTAACTTACCATCTGAGTTGGAATCTCAGTCAGCTTCTTTGTAAATTGTGTATTTAGAAATAGGGTTGGTATTGAAACTTTTTGAATGAACAATGTCTTGAGGTAACTTGGAGTTGCTGTAACTCCTTTAACAGTAATAGTTTATCTCAGATGGTAGGTTGCAGTCTTTGATCTTACGCTGAAGTGTTCACTTCTGTTTTGTGGAACAGATCTCTGCTTTCCATTTCTTTTTTTACTTTTTTTTAGAGATCTAACTAACGAAGCATCTCTGATTACTTTATTTACCCTTTGTGTTTCTTTTCAAATAGTAGACACGTACCTCTCAAAAGAATTTTAGTTTGAACACTTGAGGAATCTCTGCCATAGCATGATTCCTCTGTGTTGATGAATGATTTACTGATTGTTCTCCTGAGACTGGGAGGAAAGAATTGAAGAAGTTTGTTATTGCAAGAAGTTTGCCTGGTTATTCTCTAAGGGTTGGGGGGGTGCAGGAAGCTCACACTGTGCTTTTGTTGCATTAATGGTGACATCTTGTAAATATTAACTCTTAATTTAGTTCTTTATTGCTGTTTACTGTATATATGTCATATGAAAGAAGACTAAATAACTAGTATCTTGTCTGTACTGGTGACACGTGTTACCACATCTTTTATTCTGACACTGATAAAAAAAATTAAATATCTAAATTGATCTTAATAACTAGCTGATGTATAGAAATCTAGTGACAGTAGCATGAAATATCATGAATTCTTGACCTCTTCTTAACTTTTTTTTATAGGTAAGTTCAGTTCTACGCTCTACGAGACAGGGGGCTGCGACATGTCACTTGTGAACTTTGAGCCAGCTGCAAGAAGAGCATCTAACATCTGGTGTGTGTGAAGGCCAGTCAAGAGTGGTGATTCTTGTCTTACTACAACAAAATCTTTTATTTTAATTTTAAAAGGTTGTTTATTACGAACTACAAAAAAAAGTCTATATAAAATATTCTCTGTACATTTTTACTCTTGAAACTTCAGTGATTTTTAAGAGACAGTAATTATGTGCATAATCTTACCCATTTTAGCAAATTTTGGAAAACAAAGATTAATACTGGTTTAAGTGATAAATGTCCAAACTGAGAACTTGACAAATGCTTTTTTGATTGGCTTAACTGGGAGTCTTCCTTTATAGAATTTAACTCACGTTTGGGGGAAGTAGGAAGCTATTAATTATTATAGCTATTAACTTATTTAAAAATGAACTTCCAATTGTGAAGCAAATGTAAACTGATAAGTTTGTTCTCAAGTTCATAGGTGGCATGAAACAATATAGGAAAGTATTAACGTGCCTACAGTTTAAAAAAAATAAAATTATTTACAATGGAAAAAGGCAGCTACATACTGGAAAGTTCATTTGCTGTTGGAAAGATACGCTTCCTTTCTCTGAAGAGACAGGAGGCAGAAGAAAGGAAAAACAAACCAAAACCTTGGCCTTTAAATCCGCTTCCCTACATGGAACTGCTCTAAACCTGTTACATCATGCTGAATGTTTAAAAACCTACCATGTGTAGGTGAAATAGCTTTTGGATTTATGGAGTAATGGATTTCAAAGCTTCCATCTTCAAATCTTTCTCGTGAAAGTGTGCAAGTGCTTCTTGTAGGGTTGAACTTTGAAGAAAAAGTTCTGTATTCCTTGCACAAAGCTATCAATGCCTGCATATATTGCTTGCATGTTCCAGATGCAATGGCTTTGCTGGTGGCTGCTGTTGTGAAGCTGTACATGCTAATGAAAGGAACAAACTGGTCAAATCGAAATAATCGATTATCAGGATGATAGTTTCAGTGAAATAAAATATTAAGAAATGTTTACTTTTATTTTAAAGCAAGGAACTGAAGGGAATTTATGTAAGTTTGATACTAGTCTTACAGCTGTGGAATTTACATGAAAAACACAGCCAAATGCTATACAAAATTATGGGGGGGGGGAGTGCAGTGGTTGGATATGGACTCTTTTACAGCAAGAAGTTTCTCTTCCTCACTAACAAATGGAAATTGTGAAGTAATTTTACTCTTTATGGCAGAGGTTTAAGTTTTGCTTAAAGTTTGCATTTTTTCTGAAACAACTTAAGTCAGTATATTTCAATGTGTACTACTTTTGTCAGTTTTGGGACTTGGTAAAAACAGTGTTCAGTTAACAAATCGTGAACACCCAGGAGACACCTCACTGACTTAGTGTTGTGTGTTTACACATCAGTAGTTAGCAGATTATAAAATATCTTTGTGGATTTTTTTTTGTTTTGTTTTGTTTTTTTAAAGGAGTAATTTTCATCATTGTAATCTATGTAGAGAACTTATGGGCTGCCTGGTCAAATCATGTGTTGGGAAAGTTAAACCAAGTGTAAGGGTGAAGAGTGATCCTGATGTACTACAGATACTTAGTGCAGTATGCAAGGCCCTTATCAAAGTTTTTTTGCTTTCCTGGTTATTCACTAGGCCTTTATAGTGGATACATGTATTTTAAATATGTGATCTAAAGAAAAATCTAGAGGACGACATTTAGCTAAAATTTGCAAGTGGTCAGAATTAATTTAGGACAGTAGTAAATTAGTGGCCTTTTGGAATCAAATGTAGTTTTATAATATGAAGTCTTTCCCCCTGTTCTTATAGTGACACGGACTCTCACGTATCGAGTTCTACCTCAGTTCACTTTTACCCACATGATCTAGTAAGTTTGTCTTATTTATTTTTAAAGCATGCAAAAAATCAGAAGACTTGACAGTTCTATTTATCTGATTAATCATCAGTATGCAGTGGTTGTCCGTTTTAAGAAGGTTTTTTACTAGAGTTTCAGTGAAGATAAACTGGTACTATTCAGCTGTCATTGAATATACATACAAATTCATCTTTTTGGGTAGCAGTTTAAAATGTAAACATAAATTTTTCCACTGATCTAAAGCATGGTAATTAGAATCTAAATCTCTGTCCTTGTTTGGGATATTCTGAGATACGTTGTCCAGAGATTACTGGATGATGTGAACAAAGCTGCACTTCTTTCCACTGCAAAACTATACTGTGGCAGAAAGAAGAAATCTTGTTTGTGTTCTGAACAAAGGGAATGTTAGCAGTTTCCCTGAATGGAGTTTAGACATTTTTCAGTGGAATCTGCTGTATGAAGTTTAATTGCAGTGGAAAGAGTGAATGGAGAAATGCAGAAGCTTTTTCATACTGCAAGTGGATTTGGAATTCCATAGTTTTCTGACCTCTTTTATGTTGTTGTCAAGTCTACATGTATCTGTGCTTATAATTCTGAACTCTACTGCTTCAGTTTCTATACAAAAACACTGCAGATGGTCAAAATCCCTAAGATCATAATTCTTAAGCTAGGAAGATGAAGTGAAATATATTAAGTTTCTGCTAACCTAATCAAGGGAGAAGAATACATTTTGTTTTCACACTTGAGAAAAGAATGAGCAACCTCAATCTACCCAACCATGCTTTTGATCAGGAATGCGATCTTCATTTAGTGCCTACTAGAACTTTGTTTAATTTCCAGCCCCTGACATGTAACTGCCAATGTGGTTCCACTGAGGATATGTGTGGGGATGCTTTTGTATAAGGCAAATTAACTATATATGTAAAAGCTGAGCCCACATATCCAAAGGGGGAACATTGACTGATTACTAATGTGAGAAATGATACATTAAATTGATTCTACCTTTTAAGAGATCAGAACTTCAAAAAACTGCAGAAGCACCTGCTTTCTAACACAGCTCATCTGAAATGAGCTTTTAAATTCCTTTAGAAAGTGGATGTTCCTCCTTTGTTAGTTCTTTTTAGTATCTTTCTAGGAAGGAGTAGCTGGCTGAGGATAGTTACTGTGTACTGATACTGTAAGGAATTTTAAAAAAGCTACAAAAATGAGTTTTTAATTGTAATATATAACTGTATAATGTCAGCACTTTAAGTATGACTTGAGTATTTTATTTTTTTGCCTTAACAATCGTTAACTTATTCATTAAGTGATATTTTAATTGTAGAATTCGTAAAAGTCAGTGCATTAAGGAATTTCTTGGCCTGTTAATGTAAAAACTGAGTTAAACAGTATGTAAGTGCATAATGGTGGGTTTTTTTAGCTTTGAGTATTCTCCTTAGATGCTAGTACTACTGTGAACTGAAGAAAATTCTAAAGTAACAGAATGCAGAATACTGAGCAACTAGAGTCAATCATAAGCAGTACTGGACAGGTTAGGGTTGAAGTTTTTTTGTATGTCTCTCAGTATAATCTGAATGCAATGAATTTGACCACTGATGGCTGTACATGTGGCTTTGTCATGCAAAACCAACCATTCAGCATGGATGTGCATGCAGATTAGTTGACTATAAGAAATGGTCTATAATTTGTTTTAACTCAGAACTTTGTATTGTTCTTATATGCATTATTACTGCTCATGTATCAGTTTACTAGTCTTCAAATTCGAAGTTTTCAGAGTAAGTGGGATAATGTGCCTAGTACATATGTACTTTGAAGTGAGGCATATGCTAAAATGCCACAGTTGTATTGAATGGGAACTGTTACTGCTGCTAGTGCTCTTCATTTACCATAGTAAGGGCAGAAAAAGTAAGTAAACGTCACAGATCAGTTTAAAATCTAATTTCTTAAAACTGAAACTAAATAATTATAGTGCTTTTTGTTTTTTTTCAAGGCAGCATTCAATAGAATGCGGTGATACATAAGAAGGAACTTCTGTTAATACTGACTTTCTTTTAGCTTTCTCTTCCCCAGATCAGGTTGAACAGGCTGCTAACCATAGATACAGATCTACTGGAGCAGCAAGATATTGACCTGAGCCCTGACCTTCAGGACCACTTGCAACCTCAAGAGGAAGCAGCTCAAAAAGTCAAGCAGTACTATCGTTTTTGGATACTGCCTAAGCTTTGGATTAGCATAAATTTTGATAGATTAACTCTTCTGGCTTTATTTGATAGGTGAGGTCCTTGTATATTACTAGACTTCAGTAATTAAAGATGAAAAAATGGAAGGATTCCTGTTAGGAATGCTTTTACTATACTGTGAAAGATGAAATAATAATACCAAAATAATCTTTTGTTTCTAAAATAGCAAAAGCTACTTTTTATTTCTTCAAGAATGCTAGAAGAAGCCCTCTCTCTCACTTTGTGTTAGTGTGAGAATGATATCTTAAGCAACAAATCTCTCATTGTTTGATCTGTTTTTAATGCTAGAAAGTAAGCTTCTCAATGAACAAACAGACGGGTATTAGAACCTGTGTGTATGTGTAATTGTTTCAGCAAGTAGCCAATGTACATGATGTCCCAAAGCGTTCTTCCAAAGAGTCATGTAATGCTGTAACCTGTTGTCCCTGCTCCATTTACTTAGTGGCATAAAATAAACATCAACCTCCAGTTACCAGCTTTGGGAACGTATCAAGTATTCACACTTTGGTAATGACCTTTCTTGAAGTATTCAGTACAGTAGTGTGGCCTTATAGAGGATGATTTCATAAGAAACTAATTGCTATTGCTGGTTATTCCGGCAGCTCTTATCTTTGCTAAGAGTACTAAAATAATTTACACAATTCTTAACTACTTTGCTGCCAACAGCATATCTGTTGTTAACTTCTGACCTTTGCTGTTCTCTTCCACCTTTTTCTAAACACAGTTAGCTTTTAATACTTTTTTTTTCCCCCCCTCTCATACAGGAATCGTGAGATCCTTGAAAATGTGTTAGCTGTCATCCTAGCAATTCTAGTTGCATTTCTGGGCTCTGTACTTCTTATTGAGGGCTTTTTCAAGGATATCTGGGTCTTCCAGTTCTGCCTGGTTATAGCCAGTTGTCAGTACTCACTGTTGAAGGTATTTCAATTTCTATCTTCATTTGTGTAAACAGTAGAAATAATTTAGATTGGATGTTGCAGGCTATTTGGAGCTAAAGAAAAAGTACGTGTTTATTGTTTTTAAAAATAAATAAGCAAAATTCACCTTAGTGGAGAGTTTGATAGATGGTTATGGAAGATCATTTCACTGGAATAGTTCTGCATGTTTGTTAAACAGTCCTTTATTTGTTGCGCTCTCACTTTTTGTTTTCTGAAAGAGAAACAAAATCATACTGCTTAAAAAGAAACCCACAAACTAAATGTGATTTTGTATGTTTCTTCTTTTTAAGCTGATGTACCTTAATGCTTTCATATTATGCAATTGCTTCTAAACATGTTTTTAATCAGTTGAGTTAGTTTTTGTTAGACATTTTTATCAGGCAAGTGTTAATGGTACGTAAGGAATACTGAAATTAAGAAAGATTCTTTCTTTGTGATAGAACTATTAAGGTGGAAAAGAGAAAGGGATGGGAAGAGAGGAGTAAAATGTACTTACTGTAGAGTGGATAACTTCCCTCTTTTTGGTTTCAGAGTGTTCAACCAGATTCTTCTTCCCCTCGACATGTAAGTCATAGGCATATACCTCTATTAACCCTGCAGATGTAAAATTTCCACAAAGAATTGATCTTCTTGATGTTATGCCATTTTTCTTATATGACTTCTCATAAGGTACAAGAGGCTTATATTCTCTTAGTATGTGATAAGGGAATTTATGCTATATTTTTTTTCCTCTCCATGCTTTTTGTTTTTAGCAAATCCTGTCCTTTCTCTTTTATCATAGAATCATGGAATGGTTTGGGATGGAGGGGACTAAGAATCATAAAATCATAGAATGGTTTAGGTTGGAGGAGACCTGAGACCCTTGTCATGGGCAAGATTGCCAACCACCATATGAGGCTGCCCAGTGTCCTATCCAACCTGGCCTTGTATGCTTCCAGGAATGGGGCTTCCACAGATTCTCTGGACAGCCTGTTCCAGTGTCTAACCACCCTCTGAGGGAAAAATTTCTTAATAGTATCTAACCTAAATCTCCCCTACATTTAAAGCCACTCTGCTCTGTCCTGTCAGACAGATTATCAGGCAGTGTTAAAAGCTAGTTCCCGTCTTGGTTGTAAGCTCCTTTTAAGTACTGTAAGGCTGCAGTGAGGTCTCGCAGGGGTCTTCTCCAAACCAAACAATCCCAGCTCCCTCAGCCTTTCTTGATAGGGGTGCTCCAGCCCTTCATTTATCTTTGTAGCCCTCCCCTAGACCTGCTCCAATGGCTTTGCATCCTTCCTGTACTGTAGCCCCCAGGCTTGGACACAGCAGACAGGGCCTTACAAGGGCAGAGTACAGGAGGACCATCACCTCCCTCTCCCTACTTGCCACTCCTCTTCTGATGCAGCCCAGGTTACTGATGGCCTTCCAGGCTGCAAGAGCACGCTGCTGGCTGTTAATTTGTTGGAATGTCTAATTCCAATTCCCTGACACGGGCAGGAGCACCTTCCACTTCTACATCAGGTTGCCTAGAGCCCCATCCAACTTGGCTTTGAATACCTTCGGGGATGAGGCATCCATAGTTTCTCTGGGCAGCCATTGCCAGTGTTTCACCACTTTGAGTAAAAAATTTCCTCCCAGCATCTAACCTAAATCTTCTCTATTTAAGTTTAAACCATTCCCTTTTGTCCTGTCACTACAGTCGCTTATAAAGAGTTCCTCTACAGTTTCAAGGCAACTTGTGCTGTAGAACAGTATAAGGATAAGTTATTGAATGAATCTTTAGCATTCCAGCAGTAACAGAGAAAAATATTTTTAGCATTTTGATTTGTTCTAGAATGAAGTAGCAAAGCTTTGCAAATATGCTGTTCTAGCCTTGTAGATCATTCAATTGTATTAGCGTGCTCACAGACTATTTGCCAACTCTCTTAGGCTGAGTATGCAGTACTCTAGTGAGTTTTAATTTGAGCATGAAAGTGTTAATGTGGTAATGTTGAACAATGTTTATATTTTATTGAGCATCTTCTAGCTTGCCAGGACAAAATACTTTTGTAACATCCTAAACAAGACACTGTAAAGCTTTATTCCTCTGAAGCACATCATTCATATTATTTTAGGCAGTAAGTTTGTATTTTAATGGGTACAGAAATGCTTTCATTTTTAGCAGGAGCAGTATCTGAGTAATAAACATCAATTGCTTTTTAGTCAAAATATTATTCTCTTGCTTATGAAGCTTCAGCAGAGTTTTTCTGACATTTAGTGTTGTGAAAACTTGGAAATTCAGGTGAGAAAAAATGTAAAAATAACTGAGTCTGTGTATTTGTATACTCATTATATAGATCAAAGCCACAAAAACCATCCCTGCAAGACAATATTTTAAGGATTTTATGAAAAAAATGAGGTGACAACACACTGTAGGAGTAGTCAATGAGCAAAAAATAATTTTGATTCTGAAACTGTAACAGGTTGAACACAAAATAGGTTTTCTTCTAATCGTGAAATATTTTTTGTTTTTTAAACAGGGTCATAATCGTATCATAGCCTATAGTAGGCCTGTATATTTCTGTTTATGTTGTGGTCTTATTTGGCTGTTGGATTATGGCAGCAGAAACATATCTACAACGAGATTCAAGTTGTATGGAATGGCTTTCACCAACCCATTGCTCCTGCTGTCAGCCAGGGACTTAGTTATAGGTGAGTGGCTTTTCCTTTAATTTGAATTTTTTACTTCACCACAGTAGAGCTATTTTATTCTTCACACATTGAACCTTGCTGTGATGCTGTTGCACTGTCGCCTAACTGCCGTTCATTTAGTTTTCTTTGGAGAGAGGAACTTCAGCTTACTGATGTTTATGGGATAATTGTTCCTTTCTATAGCTTTGCTGTCACAAACTGAAGAGCTGTCAGGTAAAATGGTGTCATAATTAAAAAGCTATACAAATCTTTCTTATCTGATTTTGCCATTGTTGGCCATGAACTTGCCCTTCTTTGCTCTTGAATGTTGTTATGCTGCCCTGTGCTGGGACCTACCTGCTCAGTAATTAAATCATAGAATTTTAGAGTGGCTTGGGTTGGAAGGGACGTTAAAGATTATCGGTTCCCAAGTCTTCTGCCATGGGCAGGGTTTCCACCCTCTAGATCAGCCTGCCCAAGGTCACATCCAGCCTGGCTTTGGATGCCTCCAGGGATGGGGCACATGTTATGATTTGAACTTGCATAGCCCATTCTCTTGCAGAGGACTTTGTCACAAATGAGCTGGGACTCTCTCAGAGCAGGTTATTTTTATTTAGCAGTTGAGTAGGACAGTATGGACACAATTATTAAATACATTATAAGCGGATTAAATCTTTCTTAATGTGTAATTTTGAACACACCTGGTTTTTCATTGCAGCCCTTCAATTACATCGAAACATCTGCGTGTGAAGCAATACAATAATTAAATATTATGACTGCTTGCTTCTGCTTTAGGACAATCTTTTTTTCCAAGAAAAAAAAAAATTGGTCTTGATTATTATTTTTTTTAACTTTCCTTTGATTAATAAGAGTTACCGACTTGGGCGCTCTGAGAATTATTATTTATTGCTTGATTTCTTTTTAAGAACATTCTGATTTTTATGCCTCATGCATAGTAAAACTATATGTAAGTGCCCAGAGGGAGAAGATCTGAGCCTCTTATTTATGAGCAGTGTTGTCCACACCATTTCAAAGCTGCTTTTCTATATCTTTTGTGGAGCTAATCACGTACTGGTATTCTTTGTTTTGTATCTGCTAGGGTAAAAGAAGCTAATCCAACAGACTGTGTTTTTGTTTTGTTTCCTTAAAACTGGCCTGTTTTTCCCTTTGTTTATTCTTTGTTGACCTTGGAAATCTCTTCTTGCCACTTTGAGTCATTTTCATAGTGTATATCCATATCCCCATACCTAAATAGAAAACTTTATATATGGATGGTATGGGCATTCTGAAGAAAGACCTTTTAAAAAGTGCTTACTCTTTTTCAGCTTTAGGAAGATGTGCTGGGATCTTCACCTTCCAGACTTTTTGAAGCGTTCTGAATGCAGCTCTTTTTTCTTTTTCTTTCTTTTTTTTTTGTGTGTGTAAATTTACATACAAAACTTGCGTAACCCCAAGTCCTCCCTAAAACTCCTTCCTGCTCTGCCTTTGGGTTGTTGCCGTTGTTCTTCGTGTTGTTGCTGAAATGCTGTTTCAGAAATCTTTGTTTCACAGAGGAAGCTGGCTAGTAGCAAATACTTTGTTAGCACAGAGGAAAATACTCAGCTGCTTTTTTTCCTGTTCCCAGGAACAGCAGTTAGAACAGCACAGGTGCAAGGCAGACTTTGTGTTTAGATAATGCCATTGGTGTGTCCTTACCACACGTGACGTCTGGTACAAATTTTCACCTGTTCCACAAATCAAACTTCATCAATTAGTCTGAATCTGATCCAACAGCAGGTGATTTCTATTCTCCTAAATGGTGCCCATGAGAGAATAGTTCTGTTGAGGACTTCAAAAGCCATCAGAAACGTTGAGTTTTTGCTAGACTGCTCTTTATAGATTGTATTTTTGCATATTTATTTTCTAATTTTGTTCACAACTGATGTAAGATAGTTAATCGTTCAGACCTTGATGAAGACACATTTTAACCACCCAGTCTGATAACACTATGTTCTTTGCCTGCTGTATAGATTTGCTTGGTTAATGATTTGATAATTCTGAAATATTTTCTTCAGGTCCTGAGTAGCTGGTCCTTAGGCATGTATTCCCTAACTTGTATCATTAAAAAGGAGCAGAATTTGTTTTTCCCAAGTCTTGAACCTAAGTGTTTTAAAGCAGCTTTAGTTATTTAACTTCATCAAGTAGGAGTGATGCCTTTACTATACAACCATTCAGTGGATATTGAATGGACATCAGAAACTTAAAATTGAGACTTGTGATTCTGAGCAAGATAGCTCCAACTCTGTGGTCACTGAAGCTACAAGTCTCTAAGATTGCAGAAAGTCCTGTCAGATTTAGTCTGCTAAGATGATTTTCATGGTTTGATATTTCAGAACTGAAAGCTTATCACATGAGAAGCAGATTTAAACATAACACTTGTGGGGAATCACAGAATGGCCAGGGTTGGAAGGGTCCTCAAATGTCATGAATCTCCAACGCCCCTGCCAGGGGCAGAGCCACCAACCTCCCCATTTAATATTAGACCAGGCTGCCCAGGGCCCCATCCAATCTGGCCTTGAACACCTCCAGGGATGGGGCATCCACAACCTCTGTAGGCAGCCTGTTCCAGCACCTCACCACTCTCTCTGTAAAGAACTTCCCCTCGTCATCCAACCTAAATCTTCCCTCCTTCAACTTAAAACCGTTTCTCCTTGTCTTGCTGTTATCCACCCTTTCAAAGAGTTGATTCCCCTCCTGTTTGTAGAGAGGACGATCGTTTCTGCATGTTTTTTCCTTAAGGTGGAAAGTAAGCATTTGCCCAGGATGGGACTGTGACCATTCTATGTAATGCAATTGTATCATTTATTTATCTTTATTTTATTAATCCTGTGATTTGCAGAGTTTTTAATGGTTCATGTCAAGTTGTCTATTTTCATTTTAAAATATGTAATTTAGTATCAGGACAACATAATTTTTTTTTTTACTTATTTTTAAGAAATGGAATGGGTAAATGAATAGAATTGTCAGGCATTATTAGTAACAGGCAACCTAGAGATGAAATGATTGGCGTCTCTTAAATTGGTGTGGCTGTTGTTAACTTGTATAATTAAAAATAGGCAGCTAGGCTTATGGAAGCTTTTTATACAATAATGAAAATGTACAAATCTCATAATCTGTTCAAAAAAAATCAGCAAGATTTTTTTAACTTAAAGTCTGAATTGGCCTGTGTGAGTTTCTGTAATGATTAGAACTGAATTAAAAAAAAAAAAAAAAAAAAAAAAAAAAAAAAAAAAAAACTTCTGAATTTTGGTCAGTGTAACCTCTATATTCAGTCATTTCAGTCACTTCTATGAGAAAGTGTAACCTCTATATTCAGTCTGGTAGAAATTTGAGAAATGTATGAGCAATGTAGCATGTGGTACCCTAGAGCTTAAACTGAAGAGTACGTTAACATGCAGTATTTTTTATATAATCATCACTTTTTCAACTCATTTTTTTCTTTCCCCCTGTAGTGTTTACACTATGCTTCCCCATAGTATTCTTCATTGGTCTCCTGCCTCAGGTGAATACATTTGTGATGTATCTCTGTGAACAGCTGGATATTCATGTCTTTGGTGGCAATGGTGAGTGTGTTTGTCCACAGCATTGACAAAAGCATTAGATTGGGTTAGTAAAAGAATTTAATGATTACACCGTCCATATTCATGACCTGTACGTTTGAATACTAACTGCATTTTAAAAAGGTTCTAGTTCTGATCAGTTACTGAGGAATAGAATTACCGGCCTACTTAGTCTGTTGAAAACTATACTACTTGTACTTGTTTCCCTTGCAGTGTTAGCCATTCGCATGGTAACGCTGTTGAATTAATGAAGATGTAAATGAAGCCATAAAAATAATTTTTATCTTCGAAGGGAAAATGGATGCATTTTTGTGGGTTGTATTTTTAATATCGGGGCGGGGAGCTGAACTGACTTCTTTAAACAACTTGAAGTCTTTCATATTCTAAGCTAATTACATAATGCCTTTTTTTCCACAATGATGTCTAGCTACCACAAGCCTGCTTGCAGCACTTTACAGTTTCATCTGTAGTATTGTGGCAGTAGCGTTGTTGTATGGACTGTGCTATGGTGCCCTGAAGGTAAGCAAAATTGTACACACAGCATATGTTCATGTTTTGAATTTTGTTCTTCTTCCTTCAATCTCAAATGTGCAGAAAATGAATTAGAAATATTAGTCTGATTTGGTAAAGTTTCATATTTCCTTAGCTTTTGTGTCAGTGAAACAGATGGAAAGTAGGAGCAAAGCAGACTTTGGCTTTTAAAAGGTGATCTATTTATGTGCTACCAGGCTGTTATTTGCCTAAAACATGACCCTTACCTTCAGTTCTGTTCTGTGTTAATTCTTGTAACAATCATGGAACTTCCTTATTTCTTATAGAGTTATTATGTATTGATGTGTTAATGTCTAAAATAGGGTTCTTCTTAAATATTTTTTTTCTGGTGATATAAACCATAAACACTGTTTTCAGATCTGTGTTTATTTGAAAAGAGATAGGAAAGGGTTTCCAGTGTCAAAGTGATGATGTATGTCTGCCTACACAAACAAGCAGCCTTTCCTTAAAATGCCACTGTGTTTGATTCTGGTTCTTTTTCATTCTGCAGACAGCAAAAAGCTGTTAGAGAAAATATTTCCATCAGCACAGAAAATGAGTAGCTTTCTGCAGATAAGTCTGCTTGTCTCATTAGCCTTTGTATACTTTTCTGTTCAAGACAGGTTCTAGGGAAGGGTCATTGTCTCTTTTTTTTTTTTTTTTTTTTTTTTTGCTGATCCAGTACAGATCATGAAAATAAAAACATACATAAACACTGCTTTCATCTTAAGTCAGACTCTTATTTAAAAAAAACTTGAGAAATAACGTGGGGAGCTTTCAGAGTAAGTGACTAAAAATGCAATTCTAAGGATGTGCTCCTGGGGAATGTATGAAATTCTTGAGTGTTATGAAAACTTGTGACTACTAAATGATTAAGATAGTATAGCCCTAAGGAGTGTAGACTGTTAGAACTTCTAACCTATAGTTAAATATTGAATAGTGTTTTTCTGCTGGAATTCCAATTTATTTGTGGAATTGTAGAGTGATTATTTATGTATTTCCATTCTTGTATTATGAAACATGGAGTTCTTATGTGGCAGATAAGTGTTAAATACTTTGCCTCCTCCTTATTTACATTTTTTTTTTTTTTTCTCCAGGATTCTTGGGATGGGCAGCATATTCCAGTTCTCTTCTCCATATTTTGTGGTTTGTTAGTGGCAATGTCATATCATCTCAGCAGACAAAGTAGTGACCCTTCTGTGCTTTTGTAAGTGACTCTTTTTTGGATCATTTTTCAAGGAAGAAGCAAGTCTCAAAGGGATTTTAGATACAAAATATTAAACTGACGTTGGAGTTGTCAAAAATCATATGATATTGGTTCAGTACTTTAAAAGGAAACTTTCAAATTTTGCACTTGCTTTCTCCTTTGAAGGGCAACCTTTCTTTACAGCTGAAGTCTGATTCAGATGCTTTCTCATTACCAGGCGTGTGCCAGCTTACTGCTAGTGCATTTGTGTAGCAATGATTTGTAATGATTAAAGAGGTGCTGAAAGTACTAATTTAAGCTTAAGCCCACTTGTGGATTTTTCTTGGACTATACTTTTCTCGCTTAATTTGATACTGCATTCTTCCCTTGAATGTATGGTCCAAGAACAAATTAAAATTTGATCTTGGATACAGACCAGTGTTTGTGCACCCATCCAAAATGGGGAAACAGTCTTGTTCATCTGTGTTGAGGTGCATTGATTTGATGATGAGAGTACTTACCAGTTAGTAGTTATGTATGTAAAACAAAATACTTACAGTAGGAGAAATGTGGCTTCCACAGAATAGCCAGTAAAAGCTCATTTGGCACAAACGTGGTTAGGCAGAGCTTGAACTTGGATTTAAATGTAGCTATAATGCTGGATGAATTTGAGCAGTTGTCTGAGTCATGTAATCAGAGCCTCTTCTGTAGATAGAGAGATCAGAGATTTGTACCTGAGTGTTCATGCAGGATCTCCAGAAAATTTATCAGTTGGATTTAAGTCAGGGAATTCTTTGTTCTCTAACTGATGTGTTCAGGTTGTGTCTGAACTTTGGAGCATGTAGAGCTTTTGTTTTATTACTTACATGCTAAAGTTTAGTTTCATGAGTAGTTTGATCACAGTTTAGAAATTCAGCATTTGTCCAATTATTTGTTACCCAGTCCCTAGAAAAATAAGCAGCTAGATTTATTCATACAGCAGTTCAAGTTCTCTCTTTGTGTAGCTGGAGGACTGGTGCTCTTCTAAAATTGAGATCTCGTTATAAATAAACTTTTCCATGTGGAAGCACTAATATACTGGTGCTTTTTTTGTAATAAACTTGCAGTAAATAAATCTTCTGATTTTGTTACTCTTCTAACAGCAGAGTAGTTCATGCTTTTCAATAGGTTCTTTTTGTCTTTCTTCAAGCTCTTTAGTGCAATCAAAATTTTTTCCTAATTCTGAAGACAAAAACCCTGAGGATCCTCTGTCTGAAGTGAAAGATCCTCTACCTGAAAAGCTTAGAAATTCTGTGGTAAGTAGGCATTTTTAATCACTTGTTTTTTAATTCAGTCTAATCTGGAGCACTAAATAAAAGACTTGGCAAATTTAACTTTTGCAAAAGACTATCTCCTTGAGTTGGTCTGGGCTCTGAAGGATTAACAGTATCAACAGATTTCTCCTAGTACAGCAGACACAAGTATGATGTGATTCAAATGTGTGGAAACTACAAACAGAGAAATCACAGTCTTAACAGCGGTAGGACAGAAAGACTGTATGGGAGCTGTAACTCAGTATCTTTAGTTGCTGGGAGAGTTAGGGTGCTGAGGATGACGTTCAGTGTTTTTAAAACGTAGAATTTCTTCTACTGCAGGAAAAAAAACCAACCTGCATCCCAAAAGGTTAAGACCTTGAAGTAATAATTGCTCTGCATAAGTATTTTTCTGATTTTAGAGTAGTTTATTCTGTAATGCTGTTCTGTGTGTGTTTATAGTGGGAGCAAGTCTAAACTTGGAAGACTGTGACTTCTAATGACCCTGGGCCTATATCGCCCTCTTGTGACTAGCTTGATGCTAATCATTTTCTTGGGTTTTTGTTATCCTTTTCCAAAGTGTAGCTTCTATTGCATTTTTTTTTTGAGATAACAGAAAATTCAGGTTCATTGGTCTTTCCAAAGCCATCCTTTGCTCTTCTGTAGAGGAGGAGAAAGGAGAGAGAGTTGTTCTGCCAGGTAGTTAGCTTTGTCTGGGCAGCTGTCTTGAGAGTTCTTAATTGCTTTATTCACAGATCATAGCAATTCACAGATCACATCTGGAAAATTTGGTTAGCATTGTCAGCTTTTTTCACTGCTATATATAACCCTTAATGGTCCTGAATGAGAGTGTATTGAGTATATTAATTTGTCCTGTCACACTTTGAGTAGATATCTTTGCAGTTAACTTATTTGAATCAGTGCCCTTGTGAAATTTCTGATAACTTCACTGGAAGCTGTTAACACTGGCATCATTGGAGTTTTTTTTAATCAGTTTCACTATTACTGCTGATGCACATTAAGATTCTGAAGAGGACAACCAAACTGATGCTTGCTAAAATTATTTTGTTTTGACTTTCCAGAGTGAACGATTGCAGTCTGACCTGATTGTGTGTATAGTCATTGGTGTACTCTATTTTGCAATTCACGTCAGTACAGTATTTACAGTTTTACAGGTAAGGTGTTCCATCAAGTGTTCCATTAGTTTTCTGTATACAAATATTCTGATGATACATAACACTTAGCAGAGCGGTGGCATTACCAGAATGAATAGATTTAGGTTATCCTTAAATTTATAATGTGACAAGGGCGTGACTGATCATTTTTACATTTCAGCTTTTTGTGTCAAATTCTTAAGTGGTTAGGTTTGTTGGGTTTTGTTTGTTGCATTTCTCAGTTTGCATTAGCCCTGACACAAACTGCCCTCTCTTAATCTGTCTCTGTTAAGTTGGTGTAAAGAAAAATAGAAAAGGTTTGATTATTAAAGTTTGTGAGGGTGAACACTGACTCAGAAACTGCGTGCGTGCTAATGTGGCAATGGAGTGCAGGGCAAGGAGCAGCCATTTCCAGAAATGCTTGTTTTCAGGACTTCAGAAAATCTGAGTTTTAGGGTGCTTTTTGACTTGTCACTCTAGGTAATACTTCTGCTTTGGATATCTTTAAAGTGTATATATGTATCCTACTTAATGATGGTTACACAGCACCATATCCTGTATTTGAATGCGTTTAATAAAGGCATTTGTCTAAGAATTGCAGTTACTCACTTATTTCAATATTCCTCAAATGACTATGTCAGTTAGCTTATGAACAGCCTTATTTCAGACAAGTGAAAGTTTCTCGTACATATTTTAAAAGCATTTCACACTCCAATTGCTGCCCACAGTTAGAAACTAATTTTAAATAGCATATATATATATGTGTGTGTGTGTGTGTGTGTGTGTGTGTGTATACATATATATACATGTCTGTTATATATATATATATATATATATAGGTAGCTTTAGATTTTCAGATGTTTTATTTTCAGTGTTCCATTTGGGAAGGTGTGCAAGGCTTTTCTAAGGGGATTCTCTCTTCTATTGTATGTTTGGACAACAGTGTTCCTCCTGAATTTTATGTTCTTCTATGTTTGAGAAACTTGGCTTTATGGTCTTTACCTTTGTGTAGTGCAATAGAATTAGGTTTTGAGAGTTATAACAAGATAAAGTTATAATGTTATAATAAGATAAAGAAAATTCTGATTTTAGTTAGGTATATCCACTAATTTAAAGCATATAGGAGATGTTATTGTGAAATTCAGTCTTCAGACTATTTAAATATGATGATGTTTCTTGAGTGTCATAAAGGAGTTTGGTCTTAATTGAAGATTTCTTATTCACATTCTCCTTGAGAATATAAGAGGTGATGATTTATTTTTTCCTATACCTCTTTTATCCAACAGGTGAAAATGGAAAGTGGATTTGTCTTTAGAGGATTGTAGCTTTATTATTTATCTAATGAAATGCAGATGAGTAAAAAGTAATGGACTGTGAAGGAAGATTGGTGTACTATTTTTGCTTTAAAATGCTTCTAAACTTAGTGGAAAATTAGAAATAAAGTTTTTGTTCTTGGGCATTTCCTGTTTGATCTTTAAGTTGGCAGTACAGTTATTCACGAAGTATATGCCCAGATTATGTGAGCAACATATGTTGGAGAAAGTGTTGTGTTATAGTGTATAATTTTTTTTAATTTCTTCTATTTTTTTATTATAGAACACAGATCTTAATTTCTTCAATTCTTCTCTTCTTTAGCCTATTTTAAGTTATGTTCTCTATGCATTGGTGGGTACGGTAGGCTTTGTGACCCATTACGTTCTGCCTCAACTCCGAAAGCAACTTCCTTGGCATTGCTTTTCTCACCCGCTGCTGAAAACCAAGGAATACTATCAGTTTGAAGTCCGAAGTAAGTACCACTAGTGGTATGTTTTGAATTTGCAGTAGTTGCTAACCAACTTGTGTTAATGATTGCCACACTTCAACTTCTTCCTTTATTATTGTCACCAGCGGAATATTTCTTGACACCTGATTTGGTTATGTTTTAGTTGGTCACTTCGTCATACTTCGATTCTGTGGCACTTTGAAGTGATTATGATACTATGTTATATGTGCTATATTATCATATATTTCAGAGCAGTCCCACTAAGATTTTGAGGACTGTGCTTTAAGTTTCAAGGTTTGTGCTAATGATTACCTTGATGAAAAACATTCAGTTTTTTCTAAAAATTATTTAGGTAGGTGTTTTTTCAAGATACTAGTTTTCAAGTGCTTCAGAGAAGTATTTCTCAAGATTTCATCTTAGGATAAATTTGGTTCTTATTGGTGTTATTCACACATTTAACAACAAAGTAGTTTTCTATTAATATCTAACTGGATACTTTTGTTTTGTTTAATCATAAAATGACTTGGATCAAGAATCCGGATTCTGTTACCTGATTTGATCTATCAGTGCAATCTTATCTTTTTAATATCTCCTGATAGATGCTGCGCATGTTATGTGGTTTGAGAAGCTTCACATTTGGCTCCTTTTTATAGAGAAGAATATTATCTATCCATTGATAGTCCTCAATGAGCTTAGTAGCAGTGCTAAGAGTATTGCTAGTCCAAAGAAACTGGATACTGAGTAAGTATAAAAAGCTATCAAGTAATCTGAATGTGTCTGTTCCGGTGGGAATTGAAATAGTTGTTGAATCAATGGGTAGACAGCTAATGCTATTGCCTGAACACTAAGGCAAGGAATAAATACAATTTTTCTTCATTTGAAAGCTTATGTAGAAATGAGTCACCTTGTTGGCTTTAAACAAAATGGAATATTGCAGTTTTGAAATAGGAACCTACACAAAGAAAAATCATTCAAATCATAGTATATACTATAAAGATTGGAGATTGAAGAGTTACCTAGCATTGTGATAGAAGAATTTTCTTGTTGATATGCAGTCTGTAATATGATTATCCAGCCCGCAAATTCAAGATTCTAAGATTATTTTTATAACCTGCTGATCCATCAGTTACTATCTCTGAGGGAAAAATAATAATAATTAAAAAAAAAAAAAAAAAAAAAAAAAAAAAAACCACTGTCATCAAGTTGCATTTCTGCCTGTACAACCTTGGTCTGTATAGCCATGCAGGAAATAATGATAATCGGTGTACAGTAACATCCTCTTGCTGATTAGTCTGGAGCACTTCCAGCATTTTTTGCATCTTAATATTGATAACCTAAATTTAAGGCTTTATTTCTGTTCAGAAAACAGGGATACCTCTAATGTTTCTTAGCAAGACTTTTACAAATAATGTTGATCCTTTGGTTAGTAACCTCTAAAGAAAAAGTGAAGGTGTCTTTTAAAATAAGTAAATGCTCACATACCACCAACCATCCAAGGCAAATGAACAAAATCCAAATACAAACCCTGAGTTTGATGGAGATTGACATTGCATGGGAACAACAATTTAGGTGGTCTATAAACATAGCCTTTCAGGCAGCAAATAAATTACTGTTTTCTGTTAATTTCTATTCAGGTTGGGTGCTTTAATGATCACAATAGCTGGCTTGAAGTTACTGCGTTCATCATTCAGTAGCCCAACGTGCCAGTACGTCACTGTTATTTTCACAGTGCTCTTCTTTACTTTTGATTACAAAAGTTTTACTGAGACCATGCTGCTAGATCTCTTCTTCATGTCCATACTCTTCAGCAAGGTAACTTTTAACTCTCTGTGTTTCAAGTCATCCAAAAGGGAAAACTGGGCATACCCTTAACTGATAGCTGATCTTCAGGTCATTAGTCCTGTTGGCACTTTTACAGTTCTTATAGCATATTGATTAGACTTCTCCTTCTCAGAGCACTTATGTTTTCTTGAGACAGCACTTGAGTCTTTCTAAAAATCTCTTGAGTTTCTGTTGGTAGAACAATGTAGTGCGTATTAATGTGACTCACTTCATAACTGCATCCTTATTGTAAGTCCAAAGGCTTCTTGTACACCAGCAAGAACTCTAGGACCAGTAAACTCCGAAGTCTATTTACTGTACTCCAAAGTATGTTGATTTTCAGTGAAAATGTTTTTGTTTTTTTTTTTTCCCCACTTTCCTACAGCTTTGGGAACTCTTTTATAAGCTGAGATTTGTATATACCTACATTGCTCCCTGGCAGATAACATGGGGATCTGCCTTCCATGCTTTTGCCCAGCCTTTTGCTGTGCCACGTATCCTTTGTAATTGCTGAATTTTTGTGGGGGAAGGTATTTATTTATACATTCTGAATGTTATGTTATAATCATTATGTATTATGAGATATATCTCACGAATGAGCAGGTTAGTCCAATGAACATTGATGAAAAACAGCATGCTTTCTACCTTGCTACAGTATTATAAGTTGAACAGCAGCAGACAAAGTAGGAACAGAATTCTAACATAAAAAGCATAGGAATTAAACAACTGGGAAAATAACATAAGTTTTCCTTTGACGTTCCATTCCTTTTTTCAAGAGTCAGTAACCATGTGATTTCAAATTGTGAGTATTGTTTGTGTAGGCAGCATTGAATAGAGTATCAATTTAGTGTCATGTTAGATTTGGTGGTAATTATCTGAAAATTCTACAACAAATACCGTTAATTATTTCTGTTTTCAAAAGCAAAAGTAATCCCTTTGGCAACTGGAAAAACTGTAAAGATACTTTGCTGCACAGTATTTCTTGGAGATTGTTTTCTTTTTTCTTACTTGGTGCTTCTGTATACTTCACGTATTGTTACAGAAGCTTGAGGAAAGTTTTTGCTGCTTTGTTTTCCTTAATCCCGTTATCCTACAGATTCTGCAATGTTATTTGTCCAAGCAGCTGTGTCAGCATTCTTCTCTACTCCACTGAATCCTTTCCTGGGAAGTGCAATATTTATCACTTCTTATGCCAGACCTGTCAAATTCTGGGAAAGAGACTACAAGTAGGTGAAATAAGACTTTTAAAGACTGTGTCCTTTGTTTTACTTAAATGTGGAACTAAGGCTAAATGAGTGTTCACCTTGAAGTGCTGCTATCTTATTTTTCCTGAAGAAAATTAGAGCACTAATCTTCTTTCTGAAATGGCATAGCAATTGTTTTTATTCTAGCAGCATTTACATTGGCTTCTTAGGTAATTGCTACCGAGAGGTATGCAATTTTGGTATTGTTTTTTAAGCATCAAAATTATAGCTTTATAAAGTGCAATTGCATTCAAAGCATGAGTTTATTTTAAAAAGACTGTTGGGAGAGTACATTAACTGTATTTGACTTCTCCTCATTATTATCCATTTCACAGCTGAAACTGGTTAACCTCAATATAAAATCTTAAAATCCTTGTATGATCAAGATGCCATTAGAAGATTATTCATGTCAGATTACCTCTTTGTGTTTTATTTCTCTGAAGTCCCCCATTTTTGACAGAATATTAGTTATGTTGGTAAATTATTTAAGTGTAGTTGTCACATCTAAAGCTTTGTGATATCTGGCTAAGAAAACAGTTACACTTAGATCTACGGCTAAAGATATATTGTGACTGCATACAGTGCACAGGCTTCATTAATTACAGAGTCATAATGCTATTATAGGCAGAAAATAGAATCGTAGAATCACCAAGGTTGGAAAAGACTTCTGAGATCATCCAGTCCAACTGTCCACCTCTCACTAATGATTCGCACAACTGTGTGCCTCAGTGCAACATGTAAATATTTCTTCAAAGCTTCCATGGACAGTGACTCTGCCACTTCCATGGGCAGCCTGTTCTAGCACCTGACCACTCTTTCAGAAAAAATGTTTTTCCTAACATCCAACCTGAACTTTCCCTGGTGCAACTTGAGGCCATTCCTCTAGTCCTATTGGGGAAAGAGCTGACCCCCCGCCTCAACACAGCCTCCTTTCAAGTAGTTGTAGAAAGCTATAAGGTCTCCCCTGAGCCTCCTCTTTCCCAGACTGAACAATCCCAGTTCCCTCAGCAGCTCCTCATAAGACTTGTGCTCAGGACCCCTCAGCAGCTTCATTGCCCTCCTCTGAACAAGGTCTGGGGCTTCAGAGTTTTGAGTTCTTGAGTGAGGGACCCAAAGCTGAACACAGTACTCAAGGTGTTGCCTAATCAGGGCTGAGTACAGAGGGATATAAAATACTTAAAGAAGAAAAAAGAAAAATTTTTAGAAATATTTCACTGGGAATACTTCTATCAATTTCTGTTAGCAGTGGTTTCTTCCCATAGATTTTCTTACAGTAATAAATTTCATTAAGAACACTTCATTTTAATTTCAGCACGAAGCGTGTGGATCATTCAAATACGAGATTGGCTTCGCAGCTTGATCGAAATCCAGGTAGCTTTCATGTGTTTTTGTTCTGTACTTACTAACACGCTCACAAGGAACAAAGATACAAATGTTTGTTTCTTACAGGATTTGTGGGATTTCCCAGTTTGTCTTCTGAGTTCTTTTTTTTTTTCCAAACCCTACTGGACCTTTGTCATCTCCTGTTATTTTTTTCCTTTGTTATCTCTCTCCTTACTTCGTTGTTTCCTTTTCTATGCACTTTTCTTGTTTCTTTTTTACCTTTGTGTATCTCTGCTTTACTTTTTCTTCATCTATAATTGCAGTATGAAGTTGTTTTGCTTCTTTATTCTTAAGCAACCAAAAAGCTAAACATTATTTGAGAACGTCTCAATGTTATGATGATGAGACCTATACAGCAGTTGTTGTTGAGATACTTTTGTGCATATTTGCTTTTGCACATTATTATATGGAGTAGATTGGTGAGAGGTGCATGAGTTAAACTGAAAGAATAATTTGGAAAATGAAGGAGTAAGAGGGAAACATTTTTGTCAAAAGTATTGAACTTCACTTAGCAGTTATTCAGAGTAGTTGTCTTGAGAGCTGGGGTAGGAACAGAGGGCACGAGGTTGATAGCCTTGAAACAACGCTGTTGAGAAGAATGTAAGACTCGGTGTGGATTGATAATTGACATTCCAGCTTGAGTTTTTCTGCAAATGTAGATGATAACCAAAATTCAATCTTCCTGCAGGTTCAGATGATAACAATCTGAATTCAATCTTCTATGAACATTTAACCCGTTCCCTTCAGCACAGCCTATGTGGAGATTTATTGTTGGGTCGATGGGGAAACTACAGTACTGGGGACTGCTTCATTCTTGCCTCTGACTACCTCAATGCACTAGTACACCTTATAGAGATAGGAAATGGTTTGGTCACCTTCCAGCTGAGAGGGCTTGAATTCAGAGGTGAGTGTGTTGCCCTTCCTTAACTGTCTACAGCACAAACAGGTCTTTTGGTCTGAAAACTTCAGTTATTTTCTGTTCCATCCTATAAATTATTCGCTTTGAAAATTGAGCTTCGGGGCCACTTCATGCCATCTGACCCCTGAGGAAAAATAACCTCTAACAGATCTGATGCTAAGCCTCTCTTCACATTTAATGCAATATGGCTATGATAACTGATTCATAACACTACTTAATTAGAATGTGTGTGATCCTACACTGATAAACTATCCAAATCTCTAGTTCACTGTCAAGTAGTTAACTTGGTGTTGCAGATAAGTAATTGGACTCTAATATGATTTGTAAATACTTGTAAATGCAAGTCAACATTAAAACAATTGTATGAAGCATTTAATCTTATTGTTTTCTCTTTCCTAAGGAACTTATTGTCAGCAAAGAGAAGTAGAGGCCATCACTGAAGGCGTAGAGGAAGATGAAGGTTTCTGTTGCTGTGAACCTGGTCACCTTCCTCACATGCTTTCATTTAATGCTGCATTTGGGCAGCGTTGGCTGGCTTGGGAAGTGCTTGTGACAAAGTATGTTCTGGAGGGTTACAGTATCACAGACAACAGTGCAGCATCCATGCTGCAAGTCTTTGATCTCCGGAAAATTCTCACCACTTACTACGTGAAGGTATGAGTCAGATAACTATAAACTCTGGGGAAGCTAGGCTGGATTATAGCTGGGGGTGGTTTTGTGCATTGAACTTCCACTAGTTTTCATGGGTGTGATATGAATTATAGCTTTACGAACAGCTTCATCAAAAGAGGCCAGAGTTTGCTGTACTGGCAATTATAATTGATATTTGGTTGTAAGAGCAGAAAAATGACCAAGAGGCTGTTCTTTCTCACTGAAACTGAACTAGAAACTGAAAGGCTATTACCAAAATGCTATAGCCATTGTAAATGAAATGGTAGCTGGTATGACTCTTGGAAAGAGCCGAAGTCATTTCTTTCCTTTATTTTTGTTTTACTCAAAGAAGGATCCTATTAAATCTGCAAATTTTCTGTGTAGGCTTTAGGTCCCTTATATGATCTATTTCCCTATTTGTGATCTGTCATGAAAAATTTTAAGTTTAAATTTTTCTGAGGTACGTTCACACAAAGTTTTTCTCCAAATATGACTATTAAGCTGCCTCACCTTTAAATTTAGTATTTTAATTATTTAGAACTATACTATCCATGTTCACTCAATTAAGAATTCCCATTTATGTGTTTTTCTGCAATTAGCCTGCTCCATCTATTTTTCTTTCCCTTACTCCTTAAGTGTATGCTTTACAAAACTTTTGGGAGTCATTGAAAATATTAACATACACAGATCTATATTGCTGTTGAATTTATTGCATCTGGGAGCTAAGTAAGCTCTATTGTGTATCATTTTTCCTCGTTATCAAGAAAGTCTGTGAATGAGTTGAAAAATTTTAGGTTAATATTTTTTTATTGTAATAATACTGACTCGTGGATTTTTAATTACTATTTCAGGGAATCATCTATTATGTCACAACTTCCCCCAAGGTAGAGGAGTGGTTAGCTAATGAGACAATGCAGGAAGGACTGCGGTTGTGCACAGACCGCAATTATGTTGATGTAGACCCAACATTTAACCCCAATATTGATGAAGATTATGACCACCGTCTAGCAGGAATCTCAAGAGAGAGTTTCTGTATGATTTATTTGAACTGGATAGAATATTGCTGCTCTCGAAGAGAAAAGGTAGGTATGAATACATGAGGATAGGTATTCAGTATTCAGGAATTGTCTCATTTCTTCCTTGTTGCCTCAGATTAGTGTTTTAATACTGATCTTTTAGAAAATAAAAAATTGAAATGTTATTTTGTTTTGATGTTCTACTCTAGATACGTGAATTTAAATAATTTCTGTAAGTAAGGAAGTGTACAGTGTGACCTGTCTGCTACTGCCTTTTCAGTTACCAGCTTAAAAGAATCAACTGAAATCTGGTCAACCATTTGTCTATGTAGATGATTCTATGATGTTGCATATTTAGATGTCACTGTCCACAAATGAACCCTAATATAATCTTGTGACAGGCTTTTTATAAGATTGCCAACTTTTTGTTAGTGATTATTACTATAACTTTGCTTTGGACAACTGGAACTGTTGGCTTGTGAAAGCGATCATCCCGTTTCTAACTCTTTTCCCCTCCAAAGCCACCTTTTAAATAGGAACACTAGTGTGTTTGCAGGAGAGTGCTTTTACTGTTCACAAAAAGTTGTATGTACTCTAGTCAGGTAGTGTTTGGAAATGAGCAAGAATTGATTGACAATAAAGGATGGAATATAATTTGATTTCACTTTCTGCGTGAACTGTTGGAAGCTTCAGAATTTTTTACTTCTGGAGCTAAAAGATTAGGTAGCAGCCCATCTTAAAGGAATTAAGACTTAAAGGGTTTTGTAGTCAGATGACAAACAGCAGCCAAAGAAAATGATTTCCTATCAAGTGACTATTTTGTGAAACGTATTGTGGACGTATTAAAATCCCTTAAATGCTGCTACTGTCATGTGGATCATCATGCAGCTCCAAATGGCTTTGAGCTGAGGGTGAATTCGCCTGAATAAGCTGTAGTCTGGGCAAGTTTTCAATTGACTCAGAATTGTATACTCCTAACCACTAAGCAAGAATCCAGCTTTTTCACTAAGAATACTTTTGTTGTAATGTCATACTCTTGCTAAACAACAGTTTGCATACAGGGTGCACCATACCAATGAGGAAAGTGCATGTATCCCTTCAAATTACAATTCATCTTATTTAAAATATAATGTGCACTTGTCTATCTTTACAAATATGTAGAATACTTGCTTTTTTTTTTTTTAATTCATAGTGAAAGTCTGAATAGAGTAGCTGATGAGGTAGGTACATGTACAAGGCCTGTGTACCTTTGTATGTATTTGGGTGTTTTATTCCTTAGAGCAGTTTTTTAATGTCAAATGTTTAACTCTTTTTACTTTTTTTTTTTTTCTTGCTGCAAGCCACTGGATTCAAGTAGAGACTCACCCCTGGTTACACTGTGTTATGGGCTTTGTGTTCTGGGGCGGAGAGCATTGGGAACAGCTTCACATCATATGTCTAGGTAATAAAATCTTGTTGTAAACTCTGCTTTCTCAAATTCCCTCTGAGATTCTAAATTATATATTGGATGAGTACTTCTTCAGGAAAAATGGTGATAGTTAATTTCATCCTTCCTTAACTTGGGCGGATAGGCTGTGTGATCTGTCTTCATGTTAACAGCCAGTGAAACATAACCAAAGAAACATAACCAAAGCACATGAGGTAGAACTAGAATTTGAGCATTTTGTCTTACAGAACAACTGGAAGGTCAGCTTTCTGATGTGGCTAAGCTCCAACGATAACCAATAGAAAAAAAACCTCAAAGCTGATTGAGTTCTGAAAGTAAAAACTGTTTTACTTCAGTTTGATGGAAGTGTTCTTCTAAGTACCAGTGAGCTTCCTGTCAACGGTTTATGGGCTGGTCCGGCCCAGTTCCGTGACCAGCAGG